AGTAAAGAGAGACTGATGAGCTGTCTGGGGTGAGCACTGAGAAAGTGGTGCACTTCTGGAAGCTCAGTAGCTACACCATCAGATGGTCAGCACTGAGGTGGAGTTGCATTGTTAGACATACAGTGCTAAGTGAGTTCTATGGTGACGTATGGTTCGTACTGAGGGAGTGCTGCACTGTCACAGAGGATGGGCAATAAATGCTTGCCCAGCCAGTGGTTCACATCCCATGAATGAATAAAGAAAGGCAGACATGATGTAACTATATTGTTTAACAAAATCAAGTTTGTCATTTGCAGAATAATGGACATCCTCAGAATAGGGACATGACCTCCTGTATCAGGAATTTACACAAATACCAAAAAGGATTGGTGGCAGTGAATCTACCCAAGGCATCTGCAATGATTCAGGTGGGGCAGCATGGTGGCTCAGTGGTTAGCACTGCTGCCTCACAGCACCAGGGTTCTGGGTTTGATTCCACCCTCAGGCGACTGGCTGTGTGGAGTTCATATGTTCTCCCCATATCTGTGTGGGTTCCCTCTGGGTACTCTGGTTTCTTCCCACAGTCCAAAGATGTGCAGGCTAGGTGGATTGGCCATGCTAAATTGCCCATAGTGCTCAGCGATGAGTGGATTAGGTGGGCTATAGGTCTGGGTGGGATGCTATGAGGGTCGGTGTGGGCTTGTTGGACTGAAGAACCTGTTTCCACACTGTAGGGATTCTGAGGTGGGATATGACCACAATATATGCATTATTGATGGAGGGATATAATGCAGGAACTGCAAATGGACACTACCGCCTTGTACAATATATGAATGGTAGTGATCTTCTAAAGAAATTTTCAGCTCTACAAAAGCCAAGGCTATCTGAGGAAGAAGAAAAATATCCAGTCAAAAAGCTGTGGGTGTATATCATTAAATATTCAACAGCTCCAAATCACAGAGCCAATCAGCTACTGTGAATGCAGCAGTCAGCAGTTAAATAGGCTGCAAGGTCGTACCCCTATCCTTGAGCGAGGAGCCCTGAGTACAAGTCCTGCCTGCTCAGAAGCTGTGTCAAAATATCTCTGAACAGGCTGATTTAAAAATAATTTTAACAGGCTGTAGAAACAATGACAGTGTTAAGCCTGCCTGAAGGAGCTCAAAGCAGCCGGAAGGAGTCAAAAATATTGTAAAGCTTGTACAGTCTACAGAGATTCTTAACAGTAGTAAAAGGGAAAGCGATCTGGATTGTATATCCAGGAGAAAGCTGTTGATATCCAAACTAATTCCCTTAGAAGAAAGACAAAAATACTGTTCTTGAAGGAAAAATTCTAGGCTGAGAAGTTTAAAGAAAGTTTAAAATACTACATTTATTTAATCAGCATAAATCTGAGGTAAGTTCTGAAGAAGGGTCACTGGTCTGAAACTTTAACTCTGCTTTTGCTCCACAAATGCTGCCAGATCTGCTGAGTTTCTCCAGCAATTTTTGCTTTTGTTTCAGATTTACAGCATTTTTATTTTGTTATATTGTTATCACGGACAGTTGTTGTGAATGAAATTTCTGTTCTTCCAGTCAGCATTTTGCAAATCCATGAGATTCATTTGTGGAGTCACTCACTTTCAGAAGTTAGGGAGCTGAGTGATTTGATTTCTCCAGACTAATTATTTTGATAATGAGTTGAAGTGCAATGGAGCTGTAGTTTAGCAGAGCTTCTTATCATTGTTTGGACTCAGTGTCCATTCACTCCTCAGTGAATGAATGATCTGTTGGAACCCCAAAATCATTGTGAAGTTCTCAAGTGTCTCAATGGCAAATTGGGGCCCATTATTGGATAAAGTTACCATAAGACCATAAGAAATAGGAAAATGCACAGGCCATTCAGCCCCTTGAGCCTGCTCTGCCATTCAATAGAGGATCCTGTCTGATCCAACATCCTGCAATGTCTACTTGCCTGCCCTTTCCTTATTTCCTGATTTCCTCTACTGATCAAGAATTTGTGTCTCAGGCTTAAATATGCACACAGGTCTTTGTGGTAAGGAGTTTCAAAGGCTCTCACCCGACTGAGAGAAGTAATTCCTCCTGATCTTCAATGTTCAATTCATTCTGACGCTATGTCCTCTGGTCCTAGAATCTCCCATGAGGGGAAACATCCTCTCAGCATCTACCATGTTAAACACCTTAAAATCCTACATCTTTCATTGAGGTCACCTTTGTGGTGCAGCTTTCTGTAGTTTTTCTCAATTCAAATCGTACAGTTCTTTTGTTCTCCCTTCCAAAATGAACAACCTCCCATTTTCCCACATTATACTTCATTTGCCAACGTTTTGCTCACATACTTAACCCATCTCTGTGTAAACTATCTGTATCTCTCTGACAACCCACCTTTTCACCTATTTTTGTGTTATCTGTAAATTTGGCTACAGTACATTGACTTCCTTCCTCCAAGTCAGTAAACAGTTGTAGTCCTAGCGTTGATCCCTGTGGATCCCTACTGGTCACAGGTTACCAAACTGAAAAAGAACCTCTTATCTCATTCTCTGTTTCCTATCCATTAGCCAATTCTCTACACAGGCCAACATACTACTCCACTACCATGGGCTCTTACCTTATGACTTAACTTTTTGTGAGTTGCTTTATCAAACACCTTCTGAAAGTCCAAATACTACACATCTTCTGATTTTCCTCAATTCACTCTGGTTGAGACTTCCTCGGAAAACTCTAATAAATTAATTAGGTATGATTTCCCTTTCGTGAAGTTATGCAGACTCTGCTTGATTAGATTATGATTTTCCAAATGTTGTACTATTACTTGTTTAATAATTGATTTCTATACTTTTCAACAACAGGCATTAGCCTAATTGGCCTAAGTTACCCGCTTTGTTTTCCTCCCTTTTTGAATAGGGTTGGTATATTAGCCATTTTCCAATTCTTCTCCAGAATTCAATAATTTTTGGGAACTTGCAAGCAACGCATCCACTATCTCTGTAGCTACTTCTTTTATGATCTGAGGATGCATGCTGTCAGGGTCGGGGTGCTTATCTGCCTTTAGCCCTATCAATTTATCCAATATTACCTCTTTGGTGATAGTGATTATAATTAATTCCATCCCTAGATTCTTTATCATTAACAGGATGTTTGATGTATCTTCCACTGTAAAGACTGATCCAAAATATCTGTTTAACTCCTCTACCATTTCCACGTTCTCCAAACTGTCTTCCCAGATTCATTTCCTAAGGGCCCTTTGTTCACTTTGACCTCTCTCTTCTTTTTCATATACTCAAAGATGCTTTTATTGTCAATTTTTATATTCCTTGCTAGTTTTCTCTAGTCATTTATCTCCTTCTTTTGTTGTGTACTGAATTTATCCCAGTCTTCAGGGCTATCACTGATGTTGGCCTACTTTATGTGTTTTTTCTTTCAACTGAACACTCTCCTTAACTTCCTTGGTTAGTCATGGTTGGTTTCTCCCTCTCTTAGAATATTCTCTCCTTAATGGAATATATTTTTGCTGAAAGTCATGAATTACCACCTTAAATGTCTGCCACCGATTCTTATTAATTCCTTTTTAATTTATCCATCCTCTTTAGCTAACTCTCTCATTTCATTGTAATTCCCTTTATTTAACTTCATTCTGATTCAAGTCTCTCAGTCTCAAATTGAATGTTAAATTTTATCATGTTATGGTCACTACTTCCTCGAATCTTTCATTCGAAGATCATTTATTAAGCCTGCCTCAATACCCGTTACCAAATATAAGATAGCCTACTTCCTGATTGGTTCCATGACATATTGCTCTAGCACACTATCCCTAATGCACTGTAGCGATTTGTTGCAGCTACACTTTCCAACTTGATTATCCAAATTAACATGAAGATTAAAGTCACCCAAAATTGGATTGCACAGTGGTTAGTGCTGCTGCCTGAGTAGTGCCAAGGACCCAGGCTTGATTCCAACCTCGTGTGACTCTGTGTGGAGTTTGCACATTCTTGCTGTGTCTGCCTGGGTTTACTCTGGGCACTGTGGTTTACACCCACAGTCCAAAGAAATGCAGGTTTGGTGGATTGACCATGCTAAATTTCCCATAGTGTCCAGGGGTATTCAGGCTAGGTGGATTAACCATGGGGAAATGCAGGCTTAAAGGGATAGTGTTGGGGGGGGGGCGCAGTGGTGGGATGCTTTTCAGAGGGTCAGTGTGGACTCAATGGGCCAAATAGCCTGCTTCCATCGTATAGGGATTCTAAGATAATTATTGTTTGATTCTTTTTACATGCTCCTATTATTTGTTGAGTTATAGCCTTTCCACATTGTGGCTACTGTTTAGGGATCTGTAAACTACTCCTATCAATGTCTTCTTTCCCTTGCTGTGTCTTTTAACCTTTGTCCATCTGAGATTCCATGACTGTCAAAGATTTCATGTAGGACTATGACAGCTGCATCTACAATGGTAAAGGATGATTACTTTGATACACTGAGAGAAACACTTGACAACTATCAGATAACAGCAATCTTCAAACACACACAGGTCAGTCCCTACATCTTTCCATGGTCAGGCAGGAAAGGTTAGAACACAGAACCTGTACAGCACAGGATGTTGTGCCGAAAATGACGGTAAATGAAACTAATCCCTCTGCCTGGCCTTGGTCCATATGCTGCCATTCCTTGCACATTCATGTGCTTATCTAAAAGTCCTTAAACGCCCTTATCATATCTGCCTCCACCATCACACTGAGCAGTGCGTTCCAGACTCCTACCACTCTGTGTAAAAAAAAAACTTGCCTCTCATGTCTCCTTTGAACTTCCCCCTCTCACCTTAAATGCATAGTTGTAGGTCAATAGTTTCCTTTTTTTAGTGGCTATGAAAAACACATTTGATATTCAGTTGTCAGACCTTCTATGTGTTAAATGATCCCTGGACATGACTGAAACTTGAGCTCTATCTTTACATTTCAATGTCCATGATGTCTCTTGTGCAGAATATTGTTTTAGAGTGAAGGAGAGATAACAAATCTGCCACCACACACCGTAGATTTCTTTTCTGGTCATCCTTCCATATGGCATTGAGGTTTGACAAGACATTCGGGATCTTTTTCCTGTTCCTCTCTGCTGAGATCAAGCTTTGTGTTGCTGGTGATAACATTTTTGTTGAGTGTATGACCTCAGTTCACCAGTAAATTCTTTATCTACTGGTGTAAGATTAATTCATTCATGTTACCCATCCCTAATTGCCCAGAAGGTAGTTAAAGCCAACCACATTGCTGTGGGTCTGGAGGCACATTTCGGCCAGATCAGGTAATGACAGCAGTTTGCTTGCCTGATGGACATTAGTGAACTAGATGGATTTTTCCCAACAATTGTTAGCTGTTTCATGTTCATCATCAGACTCTTAATTCCAGACTTCTTTTGATGAATTCAAATTTCACCATCTGCCATAGTAGGATTTGAACACAGGTCCCCAGAACATTAGTTGGGTCTCTGGATTAATAGCCATAATACCATGAGGCCATCATTTCCCGTTGGATTGTCAACCATTGTTTTAGACAGGGCAGCTGCTAATCTCCACAACTTTCCTTCCCTTTGGTCTTACATGGAAGTCTTTGGAGAAAAAGGTAAAACCACCACATTCATAGAGGCACCTTGCTTTTTCATTTGACAGGAGAGCAATGATTTATGATAGATGTCAATCAGAATTGTGCTGACCTGGGAGAACAAAGAACAAAGAAAATTACAGCACACGAACAGGCCCTTCGGCCCTCCAAACCTGCACCGACATGCTGCCCATCACAAGTAAACCCCCGTACCCTTCCAGGGACCATATCCCTCTATTCCCATACTATTCATATATTTGTCAAGACGCCCTTTAAAAGTCACTATCGAATCTGCTTCCACTACCTCCTCTGGCAGTGAGTTCCAGGCACCCACCACCCTTTAGGTTAAAAAAAAAAACACCTTGCCTCGTACATCACTTTTAAATCTTGCCCTTCGCACCTTAAATCTATGCCCCCTAGTAACTGACTCTTCCACCCTGGGAAAAAGCTTCTGACTGTTCACTCTGTCCATGCCCTTCATAATCTTGGAGACCTCTATCAAGTTTCCCCTCAACTTCCGTTGTGCCAGTGAGAACAACCCAAGTTTCTCCAACCTCTCCTCATCGCTAATGCCCTTCATACCAGGCAACATCCTGGTAAGTCTTTTCTGTACCCTCTCCAAAGCCACCACATCCTTCTGGTGGTGTGACGACCAGAATAGAACACAATATTCCAAATGTGGCCTAACTAAAATTCTATAAAGCTGCAACATTACCTGCCAATTTTTAAACTGAATGCCACGGCCAATGAATGCAAGCATGCTGTATGCCTTGTTGACAACCTTCTCTACCTGCGTTGTCACTTTCAGTGACCTGTGTACCTGTACACCCAGATCCCTCTGCCTATCAGTACTCTTAAGGGTTCTGCCATTTACAGCATATTTTCCATCTGGAATAGACTTTCCGAAATGCATTACCTCACATCTTTCTGGATTAAACTCCATCTGCCATCTCTGTGCCCAAGTCACCAACCAATCTATATCCTGCTGTATCCTTTGATGGTCCTCATTGCTATCTGCAATTCCACCAACCATAATGTCATCGGCAAACTTACTAATCAGACCAGTTACATTTTCCTCCAAATCATTTATATACATTACAAATAGCAAAGGTCCCACACTGATCCCTGAGGAACGCCACTAGTCATAGCCCTCCATTCAGAAACACACCCTTCCACTGCTACCCTCTGTCTTCCATGACCGAGCCAGTTTTTTATCCATCTTGTAAGCTCACCTCTGACTCCGTGCAACTTTACCTTCTGCATCAATCTGCCATGAGAGACCTTGTCAAAGACCTTACTGAAGTACATGTAGACAACATCCACTGCCCTAATCTCATTGATCATCTTTGTCACTTTCTCAAAAAACTCAACCAAGTTAGTGAGACATGACCGCTCCTTCACAAAACCATGTTGCCTCTCGCTAATATTTCCAAGTGTTTTTGTAAATCCTGTCTCGAAGAATCCTCTCCAATAATTTCCCTACCACTGATGTAAGGCTCACCAGCCTGTAATTAATTGCATTATCCTTGCCACCCTTCTTAAACAAAGGATCAACATCGATTATTCTCTTCACTGGGACCTTCCCTGTAGCCACTGAGGAAACAAAGGTATCTCTCAATGCCTGAGCAATTTCCTCCCTTGCCTCTCTTAGTATTCTGGGGTGTAGCCCATTATTCCCTGGGGATTTGTCTACCTTAATGTTTTTCAAGACCCCCAATACCACCTCTCTTTTGATCTCAACATGACCCACACTATCTACACACCCTTTCCCAGATGCATCATCCACCAAGTCCTTTTCTATGGTGAATACTGACACAAAGTACTCATTTAATACCTCACCCATTTCCTCTGGCTCCACACACAAATTTCCTTCCCTGTCCTTGACTGGACCAACCCTCTCCCTGGCTACCCTCTTGTTCTTCATATATGTATAAAAAGCCTTGGCATTTCCTTTATTCCTGTTGGCTATTGACTTTTCATGACCCCTTTTAGCCCTCTTGACTCCTTAGTTAAGTTTCTTTCGACTTTCCTTGTATTCCAACCTTGCTTCCTGTGTTCCCAGTCTCCTAGCCTTGATAAATGCTTCCTTTATCTTTTTGATTAGGCTCACAATATCTCTCATTATCCAGGGTTCCATACTTGCCATACTTATCCTTCATCCTCACAGGAACATGCCGGTCCTGAGTTCCCAGCAACTTACACTTGAAAGCCTCCCACATACCAGATGTTGATTTGCCTTCAAACATCTGCCTCCAATCTACATTCTTCAGTTCCTGCCTAATATTGTTGTAATTAGCCTTCCCCCAATTTAGCACTTTCACCTGACAACTACACTTATCTTTATCCATCAGTACCTTAAAGCTTACTGAATTGTGATTACTGTTCCTGAGCTGCACCCCTACTTAGACGTTGAGCACCTGGCCAGGCTCATTCCCCAATACTAGGTCTGGTATGGCCCCTTTCCTAGTCGGACTAACTACACACTATTTCAAGAAGTCCTCCTGGGACCTCCTTACAAACTCTTCCCCATCCAAGCCCCAAGCACTAAGTGAGTCCCAGTCAATATATGGGAAATTAAAATCGCCCATGACAACAACCCTGTTACTTTTACATCTTGCCAAAATCTGCCTACATATTTGTTCTTCTATCTTCCGCTCGCTGTTGGGAGGCCTATAGTAAACCCCAAACATTATAATTGCATCCTTCCTGTTCCTGAGCTCTACTCGTATTGCCTCACTGTATGAGCCTGCCGAGTTGTCCTCCCGCAGTACCGCTGTGATATTCTCCTTAACAAGTAGTGCAACTCCCTCACCCCTTTTACATACCCTTCTATCCTGCCTGAAACATCTGTATCCTGGACCGTTAAACTGCCAATCCTGTCCCTCCCTTAACCAAATCTGTGTAATAGCAACAACATCATAGTTCCAAGTACTAATCCAAGCTCTAAGTTCATCTGCCTTACCTGTTACACTTTTTGCATTGAAACAGATGCACTTCAGTCCACCAGACCCACTTTGATCAACAACCACACCCTGCCAGCTCTTCCTTGGAGTCTTACTGGCCCTATTCTCTAGTTCCCTTTCAGTCAATTCACATTTGCTTTGGTTCCCTGCCCACTGCCAAGCTAATTTAAATCTGCCCGAGTGACACCAGTAAACCTTCCAGCCAGAATATTTTTGCCCCTCCAGTTTAGATGCAACCCATCCTTCTTGTACAGGTCCCACCTGCCCCAGAAGAGATCCCAATGGTCCAGATATCTGAAACCCTCCCTCCTACACCATCTGTTTATCCATGTGTTGAGCTGTACTATCCTTCTATTTCTAGCCTCACTGGCATGTGGCACAGGGAGTAATCCTGAGATTACAACCTTGGAGGTCCTGCTCTTAACTTTCTACCTAACTCCCTGAACTGCTGCTGCAGGACCTCCTCACTCATCCTACCTATGTCGTGAGTACCAATATGTACCACTTCTGGCTGTTCACCCTCTCCCTTCAGAATGCTTTCTGCCTGTTCAGAGACATCCTGGACCCTGGCAACAGGGAGGCAACATACCATCCTGGAGTGTTTTTTACATCCACAGAAGCACCTATTTGTACCCCTAACGAGAGAGTCCCCTTTAACTACTTCTCTAGTGCTCTTTGTCCTTCCCCTCTTAAGAACAGAGCCAGCCACAGTGTCACCAGTCTGGCTGCTGCTGTTATCCCCTGATAGGTCAGCCCTCCCAACAGTATCCAAAATGATATACTTGTTAGAGAGGGGGATGACCACAAGGAGTTCCTGCAATGGCTTCCTGCCTCTTCCAGTGGTCACTCATCTATATGCCTGCACTTTGGGTGTTGACACATCTCTAAAATGACTGTCTATGACGCTTTCTGCCACCCTCATGCTCCTGAGTGCATGTAATTGCTGCTTGAACTGTCATGTGACAACAGCCCCTCCGTAAACCACCTTCTGGAAGCAGTGACTGCACTGATGCAAATCTTCCCCATGTTAGCCAATCAGCGTCACCACTCTACTGCCCTCTTCCGAGAGGAAATCTGAAAATCTCTCTCAAGCCCAAAATAACTGAAAAAGCTTCCTTTTTAACAATTATGCAGAGATTCCATTAGCAGGTAACAGTCAGGACGTATCACATACTAGTTTACTATATTGTTCCAGTTGAAAACTGCTCTATTATGCCTTGCTGAGGAATCCAAAGTAACAGTAGTCAGGAATGATGGATTAAAGTGGGCCAAAGACATCTGCAGATATCAGCATACCTCTGATCTTCTTCAAGACCTCTTCATAATGTGCATCCCAATACCATCCTTGAGACTTTTTGAGTAGTGCCTCAAGTGTTCTGTGATATTTGGCAAGCAGGGTAAACGTTCTGGAAAAGTTCATCGATTTCACTTCTAATTTCCAACTTGCCCTCACTTTCACCTGGTCTATCTCTGACTCCTCCTTTCCTTTCCTCAACTTCTGTTTCCATTTCTGGGGATAGACTGGCCACTAATATCCACTATAAACCCACCAACTCCCACAGCTACCTGGATTATACATCCTCACACCTTGCTTGCTGTAAAAACTCCATTCCATTCTCCTAGTTCCTTCGTCTCTGCTGCATATGTTCCGAAGAGGCCAACTTCGACAAGGGAGCCTCTGAA